CCCCCCCCCCCCCTTTTTGCAAAAATTTGAAGGCACCCTGACAAAGCCAGAAGGAACCCCTGGGAGCCATAGTGCCCTAGCTGAGAAAAGCTGCTTGCTCCTGATTTGGACAACAAAACCTCCCTCGCTGCTCATCTCCATAACATGCAGGGGAATTGTTTCGTAGTGTACACAAGATATCTCGGAAGCCTGATAACATTGTTTAAGATTTCAGTTCAGTGCACAGGAAGTTACAAGGGTCCTGGATTTCTGGCAGGATCAACCTGTATCTTCTGTACTTGCAGAAAATGTACTTAGCCTGAAAAAAGGAAAACTAATGCAGCCGCTATGTCTAAGGAACCGTAAGCTGCAATATATTAAATCTCTCTACTTGGGTTTAGATACTGCACTTTACATATAAAGTGGATCTAACCCCAACCACTAAAATCTCATGTAAGCGTTACTTGTTCATGTAATTTCAAAGTGTTTTTTTATTTTCCAAATACATATTTATTGAGGTATCCAAGAAATATACTAATTGTCAGAACAGTAACAATACCAGATCAACGAGGAACATTGCTCGTATGGGTGCAGGTTCCAAACCAAGCATACAAAGTTACTCTATTACTGGTATCCCATACCTAGACTTACAGCACGGCTCACATCATCACCCTGGGACAGGGCACACATCCTACAGGGGGACTATCACTTAGGAGGGTGGTTCAGAAGATGAGCGCCATGTAGTGGGGTTTGCAATCTTTTTTAGTATGCGCCTTTCAGTAAATAAAATCTGGTGATCCTGCCATAAAGGTCCTTAGTCAGGCACTTTCTGTTATGGGGTGACAACAGTCTCCTTACTGTGCTCCAGCACTGTCGCCCTGCCACATGCACCCCTGGTGGAGAACACAAGTGGCTGTGTCAACACACATTGGTTAGGCATGGTCCACCGTTGTCACTAGGGGTGCACCGATACCGTTACTAGTATCAGTGCCAATACCGAGTATTCAGGCGAGTACTCGCCCAAATGCTCAGATACCTTCCCCGATACCGGAACTTCAAAAAGGAAGATTGCCTCTGACTGGCAGTGCCGTAGGGGAACATGGAGCTGGCCTCCCGGGCAATCAGGAATTGCCTGGGAAGCTGGCTCCATGCTGATTGGCTGGGAAGCCAGTTTCTTGGCCAATCAGCATCATTCCAGCCGAACAAAGTGTTATAATTGGGAGGCAAGAAAACAGTCAGGGATTAGGAAGTCTTTGTAAAGTCTCCAATTTCAATCCAGCTTGCTTTTGAGTACATTCATTTATGGAGTGTTGGTCAATACAAAGATCAAGTTGCGTTTCCTCCTTATTATGTAATGTCAGATAACGGCCGGCTTCCCGATCTGATCCTCAACCTCTGTACACTGAAATCAGGGGCTAGCAACCCTGGAGGGAGGGGGGGGTGGAGATCTACCAGAAGATGGAAGAGACCAAACATCACCGGGGTGCAGTGTGCTTTTCATTTTCTATGAAGAGAACCTACTAAGGCCACATTTAAAAAGTAAAGAAGGCTTGAAGAGTTCAAAGGTCAATAGTAAGTAACACAGAATGCAGAGGTCAGGAGTACTGTAAGTAATGAACAGTGCAGGGGTCAGGAGTAAGTTACGCCATGGTCAGTAGTAACATAAAGAGCAGGGGCAGGAGTAAGTAAGGCAGAGTGCAGGGACACACAGTGCAAGAGTCAGCAGTAAGTAACACAGATGCAGGGGTAGGAGTAAGTAAGGCAGGGTGCAGGGGTCAGGAGTAAGGTACACACAGTGCAAAGGTCAATAGCAAGTGCAGGGGTAATGCAGGAATAAGTACTGCAGTGTGCAAGGGTCAGGAGTAAGTATTGCAGAGTTCAGTAGCATGTAATGCAGAGTGCAGGGGTCAGGAGTAAGTAATGAGGAGTGCAGTAGTATGTAATGCAGAATGTAGTGGTCAGGAGTAAGTACTGCAGAGTTCAGTAGTATGTAATGCAGAGTGCAGGGGTCAGAAGTAATGAGTGCAGTAGTATGTAAAGCAGAGTGCAAGGGTCAGGAGTGAGGAGTGCAGTAGTATGTAATGCAGAGTGCAAGGGTCAGGAGTAAGTAATGAGTGCAGTAGTATGTAATGCAGAATGCAGGGGTCAGAAGTAATGCAGAGTGCAGGGGTCAGGAGTAAGTAATGAGTGCAGTAGTATGTAATGCAGAATGCAGGGGTCAGAAGTAATGCAGAGTGCAGGGGTCAGGAGTAAGTAATGAGTGCAGTAGTATGTAATGCAGAATGCAAGGGTCAGAAGTAATGCAGAGTGCAGGGGTCAGGAGTAAGTAATGCAGAGTGAAGGGGTTAGTAGTATGTAACACGCAGTGCAAGAGTCAGCAGTAAGTAACACAGATGCTGGGGCAGGAGTGAATAAGGCAGAGTGCAGGGGTCAGGAGTAAGTTACACACAGTGCAAAGGTTAATAGCACGTAACACGGAGTGCAGGGTAATGGAGTAATAAGTAATGCAGTGTGCAAGGGCTAGAAGTGAGTAATGCAGAGTGCAGAGGTCAGCAGTATGTAATGCAGAGTGCAGGGGAGAGAGTTAAGTTACGCAGAGTTCAGAGATCAGTAGTATGTAATGCAGAATGTAGGGGTTTGGAGTAAGTGCAGCCTCAACCAGAACCAATGGCTTCGTTATGTGCCAAAGATCACCCCTTCCTCACAAAAACATTGACTAGCAGCAGGCTCTTGCAGAGACTGTGATCACTCACTCCACAGAAGTTCAGACACCTGCTCTCTGGGTAACAAGCTGGTCTCAGTTCCATAAAAGAGACCAGGACCTGAGAGCCTCCTTTCCATGCACAGATACCCACTGCATGTAAATCTAAGACAAAAATTGACCCATCTGCACCCTAACCTGCTGTAGTACGGCCTACTACAATAATACTGGATTCAACCAGAATACAGTAGTACTGATGTAGCTTTCAATAAAGGTATTTTAGCCCCTCAGAATAAAAAAAAGGATTACATAGTACTCCCAACCCTATTGTTCTGAAACTGTATTGTACTGTAAATTGTATTGTAACTGTACTGTCTCCACTATTTTGTAAATTGCTGAGGACATTTTTGGCACTATATAAATCCTGTATAATAATAATAGTACACATAACCTGATATTTTCATATTAGGATCCCCAACAATTAGCTTCAAAATGGAGTTTTCCTCTAAGTCTGCACCTTACTAGTTGTGGTGGATGTGGATGGCTCGTAGAACCACATGTGATGAGCTGATCTGGTCTTACCTTCGGCACAGTATTGATGTAGGTCTTCATGTTATTCAGGGTATTGTCGAAGGTGGTGAAGCTGTTATTTATTGCATTGTCTACTTTGCTGTTGCTATAAAACGCACAGATGTCGCCGGCCCTGCAAAGAGAGAACAAGAATCAGTGAATAAAGTCTGAGGTCTAAGGGAAGTGGGGAAAGTGGAAAGGAGTTCTTCGGGGGACATTGAAGCAACAGCGGTAACCTGTATTTTGGCCATGCTGGACTAAGAATCAGGATTGTTTTAATCCATTTTCTACAGCAGCATATACATACGCTATATGGCCAAGAGCATGTGGACACCTGACCATCCCAAATATACGGACAAAAGTATGTGGACATCTGACCATTCCAACTAGACGGCCAAAAGTATGTGGACACCTGACCATCCCAACTATACGGCCAAAAGTATGTGGATTAGGCCTTTCGGCGCCCTGTGCGAGAAAGCTTTACAGCGCCCCTCAGTGACCACACCCTTTAGTGGCCACACCCTCAGTAACCACACCCATTTCCCCCAATATCTGCACCATTCAAAGACTCCAATGTTGTTAAGCCGCAAAGAAACATTAAAAAGTATGATAAAAATACAACTTTTATTTAAAAGGTGTAAAACTTGTAGCACAATATAAAAGAGCTTTCTTTTGGTGGTATTTAATCACCACTACGGGTTTTTATTTTTTACTATATTAAGGAAAAATTATTGAAATTTTTTGGGAAAAAAAGTTTTTACCCCCATTATGTTAGGAAACAATGATTATTACCCATATTTTTGGTAAAATATAAAAAGCGGGGTCACGTCGGGTAAATAGACACCCTCAGCCTCAGCACTGAATGAATGGGAAACACTCATGGGGGAGTGGACGAGGGAGCGCTGTCATATCAGATAGCCAGCGGTGAGGGGGAGAGAAGCTGCCCCCAGGACGAGCTGTGTCGGCCGCACGGCGCCCTTGTTGTCATGGCGCACTGGTCGCACACCCCTAAGGCCGGCCCTGTATACGGGCAAGAGCATGTGGACACCTGACCATCCCAACTATATGGGCAAGAGCATGTGGACACCTGACCATCCAAACTATATGGCCAAAAGCATGTGGACACCTGACCATCCCAACTATACGGCCAAAAGCATGTGGACACCTGACCATCCCAACTATATGGGCAAGAGCATGTGGATACCTGACCATCCCAACTATATGGCTAAAAGCATGAGGACACCTGACCTTCTTAACGATATGGCCAAAAGCATGTGGACACCTGACCATCCCAACGATATGGTCAAGAGCATGTGGACACCTGACACCTATCCAGGAACAGATGATACATCACAGGGGAGCCGAAGATACAGAATTCATTGTTTTGCTCTCTAATAATAACAACCCAGAAACCTTCAGAGACAATGACATGACGGCTTTGTTTTGGATACAAATCTCAGGTTAGAATTGTTGGCACGAACGGGAATCTGAACCATCACCAGCAGCATTCTTGGAGCACAGGTAACGCATGCATGGGAAACAATACACGCAAACACAACATTCTTCATTGTAATTAAAGCTAAACTCAAGATATAAAAGGATACAAATGCAGGCAGTGTAAGTACATTAAAGCTGAACTCCGGGCACAACATATTTCATTTCAAATATATTCCTCAATAGCCACAAAGGATATAAATCCACATTGTGCGCGCCAAACGGCTTTGTAAACCTAGTTATTAGCTGACGATCCACGACCGAGTGCCCGACTTTTTAGAGGGGGTGACACCAAAATCACTGTCAGTCATTTTGGTGTCACCCCTGGAATGGTGTCACCTGGGTGCGGGCCGCACCCCCTTTTGACGCCACTGATCATGGGCTTGGTGCTGTCGGACGGGAAGCGCCAGAGGCGGGGCCCCAAGCAAGCGGCCGCCCCCTTATATGCCTGATTAGAGAGCCACGGCCGCCTCTGCCTGATTGTGTTCAGACCGACCGGCCCAGATTGCCATCTGGCATTTTGAGGCGATCCAGGCCGGCCGAGCCCATTTTCCTTGGTGGGCTTGGAGCTGCTGCTCCAGTAGCCCCTATGTTAATCTCGCCCTGGGGTGGGTACTCACAGGATGGTGAGAGTGATGATCAGCAGGAAGAAGTATGTGAAGCGTCTCTTGCAGTCCATTTTCTTGGTCTGCTTCTGGTACATCTTCCCACCGCAGTTCCCGCAGCAGCGGCAGCACGCGAAGAACAGGCCCACCAGCGGCATCAGGATGATGAAGACCACGCCGATGGCGAGGGCCACCAGATAGCCGATTTCATACATCAGTACCTGGAAAAGAACGGGACAATTAAAGACCTTTCACTTGACAAGTCAGTGGTCTGCTTCTGCCAGGGCTTATACCTCCCATTCCCTGCTGGCATCACATTAGCGTTCCTCAAAGGCTCAATTCACAAAGTTCTAACACAAGGATAGGGATCTTTATTCTCAGCCATGTGACTGCAATTTTTCAAATTTCAGTGATGTTATTGTAAATTTTCCAAAATATACATCCTTCTCCTGGTGTGTTAGCTTTGTGAATTGAGACTATTGTCAGATAATCTTTATTCACCCTTTTCTTTTACTGCAGCTCTATAACTCTTAGTCACGTCTATAGTAAATCTGGTTGTTGAATCTTACACCATTTATATATTCTGATCGCCCAAATATACGCCTTCCAGATATATCAATTTGGTAGAACCATTTAAAGCAGTGGTTCTCAACTCGTGGGTCGCGACCCAAAAGTGGGTCGCGACACCTTATGCAGTGGGTCGCGGTGTCATTTCTTCATGGAGCGGCCCATCTGCAGTAGAGCGAAATAGAGAGGGGAATTTGTAGTACAGCTTGTGAGAACTCCATAATGTAAAACTGTCCCCTCTCTCCCGGCCTCCCCCCGGGCTCCCCGAGATAAAGTGGTATGGCCCCGGGAGAGAAGGGACTATTTTCTCACTTTCGGCCGGCGCATTATTTAAGGGGAAAAAATTAAAGTCATAAAAAATAATAAAATAAACATTTAAAAATGAAAACCAACCCCACCATTTGGATGAGAATAAACATGCGTGTGTGGGGCATTCATGTGTATGCACCAAACATGTTAGGTATCACCGCAAACGTTGGAGTGAGAGCAACAATTCTCGGGCCATAATTAATGGTTAACGCTAAACTGATGACCTGTACAGGCTTTTAAAACGTCACCTATGGACAATGTTGTGAAGCATAGTTTTTCGCCATTGCTGAGGTGCATGCAATTTTAACACTTGACATGTTTGGTATCTATTTACTCGATGTAACTGCATTTTGTATATGTAACCAAAAATGTGACCATGTGTCACATTGTTATGCCTGATAAAGGGACTGCATCTGGCTCCTGTCAGTCATTACGGTGCCACCCCCTCTGATGGTATCTGTGAGGGCCACACATCCCTTGTGACGTCCCTGCCTGCAATACTGCCCCTACTCCCTACTAAAGCTCCAAACCCCCACATACCACCCACAATACAATTCCATGCCCCCAATACTGTTTAAAATGTGCATATATATACGTTGCTGAATAGTGCACAAGTTGTTTTGTGTAATAAATGAAAATGTCTCAGAAATGAATCATTTTTGGGTCACGACTTAATGACCAAGGAAAATGTGGGTCCCGAGGTTACACAGGTTGAGAACCACTGATTTAAAGGATCAGCCCACCCAAACGGGATCATTTTGAAGCAGGGGTAGGCAAACTCTGGCCCTCCCGCTGTGGTGAACCTACAAATCCCATCATGCATCTGCCTCTTGGAGTCATGCCTGTGGCTGTCAAAGTCTTGCAATGCCTTATAGGAATTGTGGTTGCACCACAGCTGGAGGGCCAGAGCGTACCCACCCCTGATTTAAAGGTTTAGTTCACCTTTTCAAAAACAATTACTTGCAACACCTTCCCTACCTAACCCCCCCCCGAACAGTCATTGGTTAAGGTGGTCACGTGGAATGTTGACTAATGAGAATTTCTTTTGAGTCTTCTTCCAGGACCGTGTCCAGTCCAGAATGAGCGGTCATTGGTCAGCAATGGTAGTCATGTTACCACTCATGAGAAGTCATTGGTCAGCAATGGTAGTCATGTGGTCACTCATGAGCTGTCATTGGTCAACAATGGTGGCATGTGGCCACTCATGAGTGGTCATTGGTCAGCAATGGTGGTCATGTGGCTGCCAACGAGCGGTCATTGGTCAGTGAGGCCACGTGACCGCCATTGACTATGAGACTAAAGCTGGCCATACATGTGGCAACTTTTAGGCCTCTTCAACCACTCTCAATCAACTTTGATTTGAACATTCAATTGAAAGTAGTTGCCTGAAAGCAAGCAATCTACCAACCATGAGTTGGATCGATCACCAGAATTAGATCAATTGATCTGGGCTATCAATTAACAGGTTATTGAAAAGCCTTAATCCTTGACGGATGTAAAGCACCTATTGCTCGGGATTTCAATTCTATCTCGATGGAAAGTGGCTGACACTGCCATGTGTAAGGCCAGACTACTGGAAGTAGGTGGTTATACGTAGACAAGGAAGAGAATGAACACACAATCATTGTGGGCATTTCCCACTTGCGATCGGCCGTGAACAGTGCAGGCAGGATACCTTATCTAACATACATCTGCATGTTTACAGCTCAAACAATGAACTCCTGAGGCTGAACACCATTTACAATGACAGACGCAGATGTGAAGAAGGAAGTATCTGCACCTGGAGACAATGGGAGCCATCCGTAGAGCGTCTTTGAAGTCAACGTGTTGGCCAAACCTATACGTTTCAAACTATTCTTGCGCTACACAAGTGATTATATCTTCTTATACAGGCCATGCATAGAGGTCTCAGCCAGGGATAAAATGCTAATACAACAATCAGAAATAAGTCAGACTATTTTAAAATCATGACATGCATTTACAAACATTCAGAAATCTCCTATCTCAATGCCCATGTGAATGAAGCCCCCCGTGTTACAGAGACTAGAGGAAGTCACAGGAGTTTGAATTTTCACAAAGCCCTCTGTGTATTTTTCACTCTCCCATAAACACACTGTGCTGTATAAATAAAGAATTACAGAGAGAAACGCTGCATGTGAGAAGTCCGGGGGAAGCCAATATTTCCTGTGACCATCCAACACTTTCCTACAACAATGGGAGCAGGGCAGGAGATACCAACTTTCTTCTCCCCTGGGTCTGGATGGGATTATAACCAGTGCAGGGCAGCGGAAAGTGGGGCCCAGCCGCATCTACAACCTACACATCTGTCAATGGTCACATGCAAAACTCCTTACAGGGAACATTTCTGACACAATTGATGGGTCGTTTTTTGCATTCATATACCAGAACACTTTTAAGGGTATATTTAATAGAAAAGTTATATGTTGGGATTTACATACACTTAAAGGCAGAATGGGGCCCTAGGCAAGGTAGCAGCCTTGTCAACCCAATCCCTTTGATGTACATTGATAGGGATTGCAATGGGCACAGAGAAGCTGCCCCATTAGCATCTACTGTACTGGTATGACCACCCCATTGGCCACCAACTGCCTACAAGTACATGCTCCTCGGTGAAGGGAACAAGGAGGTGCTGAGCTTTAACCAATCGCACTACCCGCCTGCTCCTGTAATTGGCTCACTGCCTCTAACTACAGAGATCAGTGATGACTTGTTTTAAAGTTTATCACTTGCTTGTTAAAAGGAGAACTATGAGGCGAGTGAAAATCCCTCAGCCTCATAGTTCGAGCTGACGTGTGACAATGAAACTGTCACACGTCGGATCAATAGATCGGGAAGTGAGCGAACACATACCCTCGCGTGCTCACTTCTCGATCATCTCCCTGCAGAGAGCGGTGACTGTCACTCACGGCTCCCTGCAGGGATTCCCCCCCTCCCCGCTCCGATCATCCAGCGCTGACTGGTGGAACGGACGGGGGAGGGGGCGGGCACAGCTGGCTCTGCCTCTAGATAGGCAGAGCCAGCTGTCATTCACGTGCACCTGAGGGAATCTCGACAGCATTGTCGGGATCCGTCGTGGCTGCGACGGTCTCAGTATATCGTGAGCTGTAGCTCGCGATATACTGAGCTTTGGGTCACGTGAAGACGCTAGTATATGTTATGTCCTCCCGTGACCCTTAGGAGAACTATGGGGATAAAACACTGACCCCATAGTTCTCCTTTAAGAATCTGGAAGGGTTGGAATGTCCATAGTCTAGCCACCCTGTAGTAATTCAAAAGGTTTACTCAATCAAAAACACACAACTTTATATATTTATATATATTACATTTTATTAGTCTGACTCTTATTAATAATATAATAGCAATAGACTTACTTCTTTATATTCAAATACTTGCTGTGATTTCAGGAGTGGCCCGAGGAAAGCTGCAAAAAGTAAAATAATTGTGTAAAAGATCACAATGATTACCGCAAAATACTAACAAACCCAGTTATGGTGGATCTAGAGTCCATCTGCTACTCCAGAACACCTGTTATATGTCATCTTCCAACAAGCGTTTTACGGATATCACAGCACACGCGGCTAATGGTGCCCGTACACCTATCAATTATCGCTCGGTAATCGTCCACGAATGGTCTTTCGAACGATAATCGATCAGTTGATGGGAGCCCAGCGATTTTTTTTACTGTCCCCCAGCTGAATTTTCTGAAAGGGTGAGACTGGAAAACTTTTTGGGAATCGTACGAAAAAAAAAAAAAATAAATAAAATAAAAAAATCGATGGATTAGTGGCGTTTTCGTACAAAAAAATCCCACCATGAACACTGCCACATGCGCAAACAAAAATCCGTGCTGTCAATCAACGAAATTTGGTGATTTAGTATTGCGATTGTCGAAACTAGGAATGCAACCAACTGTTTTTCGGTGTCGAGTACGAGTACTGATGTTTATCTTCAGTTACTCGACGATACCGATACCAGTACTTCCGCTAGCATGGAGCTGGCTTCCCGGGCAATCAAGAGGGTGGGCGGCGGGTAATGACACGCTGCCTGGCTTCTTGATTGCCCAGTAAGCCGCCTCCATGCTGTTTGGCCGGCTTGACGCTGATTGGCCAGGTAGCTTCCCAGCCAATCAGCATCAAGCCAGCCAAAAAGCAGGAAGCCGGCTTCTAGCCAATCAGGAAGCACAGTAGCTGGGTATACAGACCCAGGAACTAAGCACAGGGATGGCGGGACCCCCTCGTGGTGGGTGCAGCACATGTTAAATTTAATTTCATCATCAATGAATTAAACATTTAACTCGCATATAGAAATATAATCTAACTCTCCGACTTTGTTCTACTCTTTGTAAAGTTGATATTAAAGCAATGAAGCTCTTAGCCCCTTATAATTACAGACCTGAGGCTATTGATTGCCTCTGTTATAATTATTTACATACAGGATGTGTATATATTCTGAATCCCTTCACTGGCTTCCCCTCGCCCAGCGAATAATATTCAAAGATATAACAACACCATATAAATCCATCCACAACTCTGCCCTGAACTACATCACCAACCTCATCTCAAAATATCACCCTAACCATCCACTTCACTCCTGCCAAGACCTCCTGCTTTCCAGCTCCCTCATCACCTCTTCCCATGCATGCCTCCAGGACTTCTCCCAAGTCTCTCCCATCCTCTGGAGCTCCCTACACCAATCTCTCCCAACTATCTTCTACTGTGTCTGTCTTTAGGTAACCCCTAAAAAACTCACCTCTTCAGGGAAGTCTATCCCACCTCTACCTAAAAACTGAACTGTGGCTTTTTCCATCAACTCATCCCCTAACAGCTATAAGCTTTTGTATTACTTCTCATCCCAGTTAAAATGTAAGCTCGCATACATTACTTGTACAATACATCATTGTACGCAGCAAAAATATTTAGGGAACTGTATTTTTCACATCAATCACATTCTGTTTGCACTGCTCCTTTTCGATTTACACAGGAAACTCTGATAAACAGCCGTTTTGTTGTAATATTTGCTTTTACTGACAAGCAGAAGACTAATAGGTGAACGAGACTGAGAAATCCGGCAGTAGTCTATGGAAGAAAAGGGAGTATCTGGGAGACTGGCCATTATCAGAGGATAGCCTGTTGCAGGCAGGCTCTATACATTGAAAATGTATATCAGTTTAAAAAACGATAGGTTGTCACAGCAGCCATAGACATCCAACCTTTATAGGTCGTAGAAGTGGCCACAGACATGTCAAAACCATTATTATAAGATGCAACAATTATTCATAATTATGTAGATCATTGTATCATTGTTGTCACTGACAGAAATGGTGAGGTCTTCATTCATCCATGTCACTCATCCCAACTGTTCTTTGCCACCAGTGTTCACATGAGTATGTCTTGGAAAGTGCAATGGTCATCTGAAAATTTTAAATGTTGCTCTACCAAGAAAAATTATCTTCGCCCCTGCCAAGATCTGCTCTCTATATCCGTCTGGGCACCTTCACATAATCGCCTCCAGGACTACTCCAGAGCCTTTCCCATTCCCCAATGATGGGATGTTGAGGCAGCCATACACATCCAACTTCTATAGTACCTAGAAGTGTCAAAAGCAATATAAGCAACAACTGTTGGACCATAACAATGGTGTAGACCACTGTACCATTGTTGTCACTGACAGAAATGATGAGTGACCATGCCACACAAAGTCATCAAAGTTTCTATGCCACTCATTCCAACTGTTCTTTCCCACCAGTTTCCACATGAGTATATCTTTCAAAGCGTCATGGTCGTCTAAAATTGTAAAATGGTTCTCTACAAACTCCATACCCCAATGACAGGTTGCCAAAGCAGCCTTAGGCATGCAACCTCTATAACGTAGAGGTGGCTGTAGACATCAAAATCCTCATCAGAAGTTGCAACAGTTGTTAGACCATAAAAATGATGGAGACCATTGTATCATTGTTGTCAATGACAGAAATGAAGAGTAATCATGCCATAAAAATTGAGTCATCAGTTAGGTTTCGGTGTTGATTCACCCATGTCACTCATTCCAACTGTTCTTTTAGGGCCATGGTTGTCTGAAAATGTTAAATGTTCTTCTACAAGGGGCCTTGTGTACAGTGTGCTGGCAGGGGACAAGGGTACAGTTGGGCTTTAAGAAGAACTTTGAACTCTAAACAAAAAGATTTTAATCAGTTGACAGATGTCATCTTCCGGCTATGAGGTCATAGCTGTGGTCCTTCTCTCTGCTACATTGGGCTGTAACCAATCAACAGCGATCTTGATGTAACATCATTCTTTCCTTCCATTTTGCAGTGCAAAAGTGACCCTTGTGTAGAGCGATGTCGTGCAATATCGCCGGTAATGCGACATCCATGGAAAAAAAGGGTCATGTGCCAGCGACAAGCTTGAGCGACGAGCTACAGGCGACATTGAGCTGTGAGATGTGAACAGCTCCATTGAAATGCATTGGACAAGTTAAAAAGAGCGACATCGCGCGGAAATCGCGCGATAAACTGCTCAGTGTGAACGGGGCCTTAGGGGGGAAAGCCACATCTCTGACTTTAGATCTAGAAGCTGGCATGTGCATATTGGGGACCTCTGTAGGATAAAGAAAGATGGACGCACACTTTAAACTTTTTATGCCATTTGAACACATCAGATTTGTAAGGAATTTGCTGTAGGAAAAACCTCAGGCAAATGTAAAAATCTCCACTCAGCCAGCCCTGCTTACCACTTTCCAGCCAAATGGTCATATTTGCATGCAAAACAGGACTCGGCAGAGAGCAGGGTCCATGGAAACAAGACGCATGAGTTGCAATCTACAGCGGCGACAGACACTGCCAAGATCCTAACCAAATACTTCCAGCCACTGCAACAACAGCCTCCAGCTCTGGATCAAATGTTCGCTGCCCTTCTTATAGTTATTTCAGTGCTGAAAGATGATATTTTGTCATTCCACTTTCTCTAACGTACGTGAGAAAATATTTGAAGGTCTTAAAAAGGTCGCCCAAACCCTATTTCAGTTTCTGCTACAGATTGTAATGACACTCCGAGACCTCAGGGGTGCAATCCCAGCATTGTAAAGCCAAAGAAGATATTAAAGGAGAACTACGACTCGCGGTATACTGAGACGCCGGAGCGGATCCCGACATGGACGTCGGGATCCGCCCAGCTGCGTGAGTGACAGCTGGCTCTGCCCAGCGCTGGCAGATCGGAGCGGGGAGAGGGGAATTCAGCCCGGAACCCGGTATGTGTTCGCTCACCTCCCGATCTACTGAGCCGACCTGTGATCAGTCTCATTGTCACAGGTCGGCTAGAACTATGAGGTGAGTGGAAATCACTCAGCTCATAGTTCTCCTTTAAGAGTACAGCTCTCCCTGCTTTTTTTTTTTTTTATCATTCTGTATTATATAGAAGTCACTGGGAGGAGTGCAAACATACACCTGCAACACATGTGCATTGGGAAGGTGTAATGGGGTGCCATATGCAATAGATGGTACCTCAATGTGTGCAACAAATCACGAGACAGACAGCACCTATTTTTATTTGGCTAAACTGCAATGCACCTCAGCGCACACAAACAATAGGTGCCGTCTGTCTCGTGGTGTGTTGCAGTGCCGCTAACGCATTGCACCAAACCGTCCATCAATGCACAAAACACATGTGCCGCAGTGCATTACTGTAGTGTGTATGGGCCCTTATCGTTTCCCTTTAAACTATGTCAACAGGGCCATCCTTATAATGAGGCAGCCTGAAGCTTTTGCTTCAGGTGGCCTCTCTTCGGGTCATGTGGGAGGGGGGCATGGCCGCTCTGCGGTACAATGTTTGCAGTGTGCCTGCCGCCCCCTTTCTGGCCAGTGTCCCAGGTTGCTAAAAGCCAGGCGGAGAAATGTGTAAGGGCCATACACACCTCCCTGTACAGTTCTTAGCAACCTTGGGCGCTCTGGTCGGCGCCCCACTCAGCTCTTGGCCACCAGTGATGTCAGTGCGCTGGGCGCGACGCCGGGCAGAGCCAAAGAGATTTTTTTTCCCCCCCCTCCCCCCCCCCCCCCCCCCCCCCCCACACACACACATACACTTACATATTAGCCTGCACCACCACCACTCCTTCTGAACGTCCAGCACCCCACACCTGGCCTCAGGTGGCAAAAAGCTAGGGGCACCCCCGTATGTGACTACATTAAAGATTAATTTCTCGATTAATCGTTAAACTTTTTGATCGATTAAAATTATTTTGATCGCTAATGAAAACACTCTGTGCCGGCTTCCGGAGTCCGGTCAGCGATCCGGTGACGTTGTAATTTAGATTAATCGAACAGGAACATTTTTATCATTACCAGCCCTATTAAAAATGTATTTTTATTGTAATATTCAAAATGACCCCAACCCCCTCCTCTCCCATCCTGTCAGCAGGACTTCCTTTCCCTTTAACAACATTTTAGTGTTGGAGAAGTGAGGAGAACTCTCCAGCAGCAATACAGGCAGAAAAAAAATAAATAAACACATATTGGGGAAAGCTAAAACCCTGGCCAGATTTTTATTTCTGTTGGCATCCCTGTTGCAGATTTTCCCTAATTTCCTATCTCGTGAAGCTGATTTCAGCAAAACAGGAAGTGAGGGAAATTCTAAAGGATCCCCTGAGAGCAGTAAAAACCAGACAGGGCTTCTAATCTTTCCTCAAAGCAAAATGTTTCTGCGTTGACCTACAATAATAAAACTATAAAACATTCCAGTAATATAACACAGAAGGTCGTTCCTAAAAACACACAACACGTACATAATTCTGTTCCTTGTTATCTGATGCTTTTCCTGCCCTGCCCAATGTTTGCCTTATCTTATATATCATTCTACATTCCGGTAAAATCTTGCTCAACATTTCCTTGTGGTTTTAGACAAGTTTGTGCCATTACTTTGTTGTAAGCTCCATATCATGTAATGATCACATACATGCTTTATCCTAATGAACTGTAGAGGGGTTCGATTCTGAGATCTTGTTATAAATAAATGTGCATTTAACCAAACGTTTGGAAAAGCCTGTTGGTTAGAACAAGGGGACACCACTTCATCCAGGAACTGTAGCCAGACGCAATTAGAGCAGTGTGTGGGCCTGTCGGTGTCCTTCTATTCAACAACAGTTGATTGTTTAATCAACGTTTGTCAAAGGAGTGGGCCAAACGTTGTGGGCCATACAGCCAATCAGCTTCAGTCACTGTTTGTATGATCGGACAGCAGGGGGCGCCAGCTACCAGAATAGCTGGCAAGGGAGCATCCCCCATCCACACTATACAGCATGGATGGGGGGGATTTCCCCTTTTCCCAGCCATTTCAAGGATGAATGAGTGTATGGTCAGCTTAACACGGTTTCTGTTCTAGCTTTACAAAGGATGCCCAACTTCCTTGCAAAAGTTTTATTGTTCAGAAAATACCTGTTGGCACATATGTGTTTTAAATTGAACTTGCACCTTACCCATTGAAGGTAAGGTAACAGTTGCACTTGATAGCCCATTCCGTCCGATGCTCATGCTTACCTTACCCACATTTCCTTGTCGCCGCATTTACCCACCAGGTTGGTCTAGGTTTGAGATAACACACAGCTTAATGTCCCTTCCCCCAAGTAACAGCATTTGGGTATGGCGATTGCCAAGTTTGTATTGTGGGAGGAAGGGAAGGTAGCCAATGATGCGTGAAATGGATTCTCCGAAGTATCAGCAAATACTGGAGATTAACGTCCTGCAGTCACTAAAGCCATAAAAAACGAACACACAATAGATGAAGCAGCTCTTAAGACCTCTACAATCCTCAGCTCAGAAGTGAAGAGCTGCATGATCCCCAAAACCTGGAAGAAGCAGGTCATTCGCTGAGAGAACAAGCAAATTGCAGAGGCGGTGAAAGTAAGTCATTGGCAAAGGGTAGGCCTATTAAGCTAACCTGATACTTTGCCCCGATTGGTCAAAATAGTAGTTTTAATAGGTCGCCTGAAGCAATTAATGGATGATTTTGAAGTATGTTTGGAATCACTGTCTTGTTTGACAATCCAGTTTCTTTTTTTTAAAAGCAACGTTCTGGAGCCACCCATCATTTCTAAAGAGAAAAATCAACTTTATTGTTCAGCACAAGCACATACTGTATAATTAAGTCCCAGCAGGGGGCAAAGCATGTCAGCGGGAGGATCCTGGGCAGAGTATATATGCTACTGCCGAACAATAAAGTTGATTTTACCTTTTGGAAATGAGTTGGGGCTCCAGAACTTTGCTGAATGGTGTGTTGGATCCCGGAGGAGTGAGCACCTGCAAGGTGGAGCTGAGGATTGCAAAAGTGTTGTATCTATTGAACGGCTGTATCTATTGTGTGCTCGTTTTTTTATGGCTTTAGTGACTGCAGGACGTTAATCTCCCGGATTTGCTGATACTTTGGAGAATCCATTTCATGCATCATTGGCTACCACAGAACCACCCAGCATAGCAGATCCACCACCATGATTAACATTTGGCAAGGCATTCTTTCCTTCAAATGATCCTCTTTTCTTTATTCTTCAAATGCATCTTTGGCAATTGCAGACAAAGAGTTCTACCTTTATTTCATGGAACCACAGCCAAAATTATTTAGGCTTAGCTAAAGCTGGTAATAGACAGAAGGTATGCTCAAAAAAGCAATTGTAAGCTGTTTGACAGTTGTCCAATCAGAATGAGGTTTGTTCCCTGCAAAGACTGGTATTGAATAAACATATCAATACTTTAAAAACCCTTCAAGTGTGTGCCGGTGAAATACTTTTATTTACTATTAGTGTTTTGCACGGCGCCATCCGTGTGGTCACCTGGGCACCGCATATACCTTGTGGTTTTGAGACCGTATCAGTTCGAATGGGATTTGGACTTTGTTGTGAGGCTAAACCAACCTTTCTCAATCTGCTTACCCCTAAGGAACCCTTGAAATATTTTTTTGGTCTCAGAAAATCCCAGCTAAAATGAATTAATTGGGGCTCATGGGGAGAATGCTTCTCACATTGGTGGTCAATGGCAAGAATTACCCTTATATTGGTGTTCAGTGGGGAGAATGTGCCCTACATTGGTGGTCAGTGGGGAGAATGCTCCTTACATTGGTGGTCAGTGGGGAGAAGGCTCCTTACATTGGTGGTCAGTGAGAAGAATGATCCTTACATTGTTGGTCAGTGAAAAGAATGCTCCTTACATTGGTGGTCAATGGAAAGAATGCCACTTACATTGGTGGTCAGTGAGAAGAATGTTCCTTACATTGGTGGTCAGTGGGAAAAATGCTCCTTACATTGGTGGTCAATGGGAATGCCTCTAACATCACTGGTCAGTGGGATCAATGGTGGTCAAGAGTGCCACCCTTTCAGACAGCTAAAAAGATTATTGGTATCATGCTGCTGGCTATGCCAAGTGGCGCTGGACCCAGAGTTATGCAGGCACCATCAGGTGGGAGGTCAATCAGACACACAGCTAAAAGAAACCCCTATCAACCTCTGGAAGAACCCTAGGAATCCACAGAACCCTGGTTCAGAATGGGTTGACAAATTCTGCTGTTCCCCTGGGGTGGAGGCTAAATTAAATGGTCTGTGGTGAAGTAATACAAAGTAGGAAAAAAGCAGGGGTATTGGCCACAGCAACCAATATAAAAGCAAGCCTTGGACTGGTTTCTGCAGACTGCAACATTTAATTTTGCTTGTTTTAAACATGAGAAATAGTCTTGAAGAGACCCTGTCCCCAGACCATTCATTTCAACAAAATCATTCCCATAAAATTAGATGTGCACTTTTATGGATGGTATTTACCTGTATAGACATCCAAAAGTCCTGAGACTTCTGCTGGCTGCCAGTCTCAGGGTTTGACAGCCCCAGCAGACTCAGAGCTGTCACTCAGGTGACATTCTAGACAATTCCCCTGTGCTCCTCCCACAGTAGCTACATGAAAGGTTATTTAGGGAGGCGAGGGGATAGGCAGAGGAGCTGGGTCAGCAAATTAGGCACTCCCAGAAGAGGAGACGGTTATGACCTGCAAGAAGGAAGGGGGCTATGCTATAGAATTGACTCTTCCCGTCTAGTCAAATCTTTCCAACACGTTCAGAGAGACATTGCAAGTGAATAAAAAATAATTTAGGGAAAAGAAAAAACACTGCAAGAAAGCATTTCAAAACTCGATTTCTTCTGTGTTTTTACCTATAGGGTCTTTTTAATGGGTGACAGTGACAGGGTCTTTTTAAAGGAAACCTGGTGGTCGCCACTGGTTGACTTCCATCTGAAAATGCTAGTTGCATGGCTTTAATATTTTCTGAACCAGTTGCCAGCTGACCAACAAGCAAAATGAGGGGGAAGTCAGAACTCTGGAATGTCTTCTTTCAGGGTAAGGCCTTGTTCACACCAAATGCAGACCAGATCCAGTCAGGTTTCTGCACCTGCAGTGTAGTGGGTTTATCTACTTACCAGGAGGAAAGGCATTTCGCTGCACCAGGTCCAAATATGAGTGAACCATATCACTGAACACCTTCATCGCTCCAGTATCTGCAGGAGCTCCAGGGCTGTAAACCGGGTCTGTGAGATTCTGGTAATCCATATCTGTGGTAATCCAGACAGGCTACTAGAAAAAGTTAATTCCCAGATAAGATGAGGTATCAAAAATGTATATGTATAGACGTCAATGTAATCTGATCACTGAACCAGTGAATCCTCCCAAAGTATGAGCCAGCACCCTTGTGGTATATACTTCTTATAATCAAAGCAATCGCTGTTCAACCAGTTCTTTTTTTCCCCGTTCAGTCCTCTTTAGGCTGAGGCCAACGAAAGTGTCACAGGGAAGTCTCACTACTATATTGTACAAAGGCAGAACTTTCCCATAACAGTCAAGTCTGGAGTGAAATATGGGACTTCATTGTGGGTCCATCCTATAGGGATGCTCTGTAGATAAAGCAGTGTGTGGTCTTGGTGAGATATTCAGTGTCCACACTGGAATACAGATTGGTTTGCTTCTAAGTGGCCTCAGTGGTGAAAGTTTTTTTCTTTTTTAAAGTGCAGTTCACTCTTGAGGTTTTCAACAGCAGGGATAGGTGGGGTCTCCTTCCACAGATTTGAGGATTTCCTGCAATATGAAATAATATACAATATTTAGCAATGAATGCAAAGCAGAATGAAAGACTGTGTTTCAGAGTCTGCCTGTCTGCTCAAAAAACCATCTTGTGCGAAGGCAGACAATGAGATAGCGGGCCCTCCTCCACCCCCAGCATTCCATGCTCACAGCTGGAGACTTCCACATAAAACAATTAAAAGAAGAAGCTGATATTTCTCATTAGCATCCTGCAACCTTCTCTTAAAAGGTGCCCATTGACATTCTACCAATCCAGCTGGACTGTCTATAGGACTCCAGCAGACTTGTCAGGGTAGAAGGTCTCAAACCTTGTCCAATCCTTATAATTTGCTACAGCAGGTCTCTCCCTATCTACTACATAGACTAAATGTAATTCAAACATAAAGGTTGATGACATAAGAAACCCAGGCTAATGTGATAACCATCACATTAGCCCAAAGGCAGGGCTGGACAAATTCCAGGAACCAGATAGATAGTGCTACACAGCTGATGCCCACATTGTAACATGTTCTCTAGTTGTCAATGGAACGGACTCCTAAAAATAAAATCTGGCTGCCTCCTGGATTCGACAGACTGGCTCCTGAATTCCATGTTAAATTGGTCCACCACTGGCCTAAGGATACCTTTACTAAGCTAATGTGGTGATGATCAACTTAGCCTGAGGATCCCTTCAAAAAGCAAATGTGATTATTATTGTGATTATTATTATTATTACTACATAGTATTTATATAGTGCCAACAGTTTGCGCAGCGCTTTACAATATAAGGAAGACGTTACAGTCACAATACAATTCAAGACAAGATGGTAAGGAGTGTAAGGAGTGATGACCATCAACTTAGTCTGAGGACCCTTTTATCAGGCTAATGTGATCACTATCATAATTGCCTGAAGCAGGAGTCCTACAAGAATCCAAAACAGGTGAAGGAAATCTCCCCTGTGGTAAAACTACAAATCCCAATGCAATACTCTGACATCCACAGGCATAACTCCCGGAGGCAGAGACAGGATGAGACTTGTAGTTTCACCACAGATGGAATGCCAACGCTGCCTATCCATGCTCTAAAACATTGCATTAATGTTATTTAATCAACATTCATGTTTGAGGGAAAAAATTGGACTTTATAGAAAAAATGGTCAGGTGTGCTGGCACAGAATCTTTTTCATGTACATGCTACACCAATCAATGGTTGCTACAGCGCCCTATACTTAATGGTACATTTTAGTAAGGCGAGCAGTGGGAATATCTCAGCTATGATATGGAGGTTGGAAGATCCATCTGCTAAACAATTCTATAGGGTAAGGAACAACCAGATGTGCACGTTTGACACTGTTAATATCAGCCTATTACTGAACGCATAATAGCAATATCCAGCAAACTAACTCCTTCCCAATGGACATTAGAGAGCTGCTGGGTGTGCAATTACAATCTGACCTCCCAAAAGGCTTTGACAGCTACAGAAATATGCACGCTCAGTGACCCTAAACTCAGAAATCTACTTTTGTTCCCCATGGTCCCTGTGTGTGTTGTAAAGTAGTCACCACACCAAGCTCACTCCCGGGATGGACTACAATCTCAATACAAATTATTAAACTAAACATGAGATTGTAGTCCATCCCGGGAGCGAGCTTGGAAAGGTGACTACTTTACAACACACACAGGGACCACGGAGAACAAAAGTAGCCCCCCTCCAGAAGGAAGGACAGTGTCAGCACCAATTCAGAGATGATTTGAAGATCTACAGCCGAGTGATACAAAAGTAGCTACATTTGTATTAGCAGTTAAAGCAGAACTCCAGGTAAAAGTTTTTTTTAACCCTTTGAGTGGGGCTACCCCTGCACTGCAAAGGTTAATTGCTTATTTTTGTCTAGGTGCTAAAATTTATACTCTAGCTGGTTGCTACTTCGGTCCCTGAAGTCTGTCTCTTCTTCCGCTGCAGCATTGTTATGTCCCTCAGCGTCCTCATGACTTATATACAGTGTATAGAACGTAATGAATGAAGAATCCTTAGACCTCTGCAGCAGAGGGGGGACGAGGCTCCAGGGACTGGTTTAAGAGCAAGCCGGCTCACAGGATCAGGTGAATATAACTTTTTTTTTTGTTAGCACCTAGACAAAAAAGAGCAATTGACCCTTGTAGTGCAGGGGTAGCTGACCATACACTGGTAAGTTTTCATCGGCGTTATACTGACTCGGCTGAAAATCTAGTCAAGTTGTCTTATGGTCGAAAAAAGCCAGTCCAAAAATTGTCTGCCAAACAGTGACTGCGGCCAATCAGCTCTAATCACTGGCATGGGGACAGAAGCACATCCACCGCTGCCAGAATACAATAGCCCATTAAAAGGTAATCTGGCATTTTTTTCTCATTCAGTCCCTGAAAAAAATATAGGTGTATGGCCAGCATTAGTATCCCTCTAATTTCAGACCTGCCAACTGCCTGACCCCATGCTGATAACACACCCTCTTCTACATAATACTGCACAATAGTATTACACAACAAGGTCACGCAGTTGTGTGTATTGCTCTACAGGGCTTTATATTGGATGTTGTAATGCAGATTCAGGAACTGTTGTGTGTTTTAATCAGCAGGATATCAGACAAGGAAGAATACAAAAAGCACACCCTGATGTATGGTTGCCCAATAAAGGAAGTGACACCGCAGCTTTAAACAATTCTTGATGTAATTGAGTCATATAGAGGTCATCAATGAAGTTACAGCGAGCAGTTAGGGCATCACTTAAAGCATCACTAGTAGCACGGGTTATCACAGGCAGAGATGTTCTGACATATGACTATGAGACACCTTTCCCAATAGCCGTTGAAGATGAGAGCAGATCTCAGCAGTGTTTGGGTTCAGATGGGCAGACCACTCACTGACTTTGCTTCTCAGCAAAAGATCTGCTTTCATAGGGTGATGTACAGTATGAAAACTGGAAGAATTCTAAGTAGTCATAGATATACAATGACAGTTAAACCAGGTGATGATCGAATGCAGTGTTTCTCAACCTTTTTACCCTAGAAGAACCCTTAGAATAACCTTCAGGTCTCCGTTAAAGAGAAGGGTCAATGGAGGAAATGTCCCTTACGTTGATATTCAGTAAGAAGTATGCAACCCTTATAGTATTGGTCAGAGGGCCACCCTTACAGACAGCTAAAAAGATAATTGGTGTCATGCTGCTGGCTCTGCCAAGTGGCATTGGACCCAGATTTATGTAGGCACCATCAGGTGAGAGGTCACTCAGCCACAGCTATAAGAAACCCCTGTCAACCTCTGGAAGAACCCTATGGTGGTTTTCCAGTGGCACTGGCCCAGAAACTAGGCACAGCCACAGCTTAAGGTATTCCTAGAAAACCTTTGGAGGAACCCTAGCATTCCACAGGACTCTGGTTGAGAACACCTGATCTAATGTCTTATGAGGCACCACCAAAATCCTCTGACTAAGGTGTCTGAGGGGAGATGGTGATTGGACAGAGAAGAAACTTTTTTCCCAATCTCTAGTTTGTCGGATAAGCCCATGTTATAGGTGTATGTGGTATGACTAGCCCTCCAAAAACCAAACTTGGATACCTGAATGCACTTGGATTTAGCCTGCATGTCAGATTGTCAGCCTAGTGCAAAGATAAAGCATTGCCTGAAGTAACCAAGTTGATTGGTTGCTTCATTTTCCCACTGAATGAAAGATAAAAAGGTCTGTGTTTACCTGGTGGAAGACCTCAGTTTGTCTTTGGTCCAATTCCATACATAAGCCCCATTGTCTTTCATTTCCTCTAAACTTATATGTACGAGTCTGTTTCTCCCCATTTACTCCGGTGACCCTCTTCCCCGATACCAGCAAAGCTTCACAGCCTTATTCACCTTTATTGCAGATTTTGTCTGACTGTCATTTCCTGCTTTGCTCGTTCTACAATGAACACAGGAAAAGCTCATGTACGTCTATATCTTTTTTTTTGTCATTTGCTGCTTTCGACATCTCCCCTTTGATGTGTTTTGTCTTCCGGAGATGTAATGAGGAGGTTTGAACTTCACCTAAGCCTCCTTCTGGGTAAAAATTTACAAAATACACATTTCACCAACAATATATAGCCCCGCACCACCACGTATGGGCCAACAGCTGCCCATACATGTCAGAGTTTCAGCCAATTCACAGGAATCGGATGAAATTCTAACAGTGGATGGGCTGGTTGGCTCAACAATTTTCCATTACTCAATCAACTCTTTCCAAAGGAGCCAAGGTGAATATTGTTAGCTGAACAGTGACTGCAGCTAAGCAGCCAAGTTTGGACACCTGGCACTGCCAGAATACAGTAGTCTGGGCAGGGGGAGGTTCCTCCAGCCATGCTGCTAGCTCTAATGGAGGAACCCGTTCAATTTCTTTCACTCAGCCAACAGAGTGAACAAAATAAATCTATTAGTGTATGGCCAGCTTAAAGGAGAACTATGAGGTGAGTGAAAATCACTCATCCTTATAGTTCGAACCGACCTGTGGCAATGATAAAGTCACACATCAGTTCAGTAGATCGGGAAG